TTTTTTTTTTTCTTTTTTTTTTTTTTTTTACAATCTATTCATATACAGACTTGTCATCCTGTTTAATGAATGCTGTTTTCTTGTCGTGTATGAATACATCTAGGATAATGGAGCATTCAGTATTAAGCCTGTAAGACAGGCAAATAGTGTTTCCTAGATTTATCATGTTTGTGCCAGATTCTCAATGCATATTGGGGGGAATTCATAAAAACTGGAGAAGTTGTGCATAGTAACCAATCTGCTTTTCTCTTCAGTTTGTTCAATTAAGCTTTAAAAATGAAAGATTGATTGCTATGAGCAACTGCTCTAGAGTCTGTCTGCGCTGATGTTGATAAATGCGACTGACTGTCCTTTTGTAGAGGCTTTGAAAGCACCAAACCAGTATGACACTAGCTGCTTTTTAAATTGCACTCACCTAACCTTTGAAGAGACCTTGCCCCCAGACCATTTGAATCTTCCCATAAGATTACCATACATTTACATTCATTTACCATGTTATTTAATTGTAAAAGCTTCCCTTGTGTAGACGCCCTGAGACCTGGGCACTGCCATCTTGGATGTGATGTCAGAAGACAACAAGCTCACTCAACTGACAATCTATAGTATTCTCCTTAACTCCTCCTCTGGGAGAGCACTGTGCTTGGTAATTGACTCTCTTGGTGTAGTAAAATTTTCCCAAAAATGCAAAGGCACATTTCAAGTAAATTAAAAAAAAATCATTTAAGAAAAGGAAATAACACTGCAAGTACACATTTAAATTATTTATACTCGTTATTTTTCTGTGAGTTTTACCTAAATGTGTTAATTTGGTGACAGGGTCTATATAGGGAAACCTTTCACAAACGTTCCTTGCCTGCTCTCATAAGAATGTTATCGGAGGGGTTAGATCAGGAACAATGTGTGCATACCTACAGGAGGGGTTCATGTTTAAGGATGTGGTAGTTATGCAATATCTCTGTTGTAGGACTGACTGTTACTGCAGTAAAAGACTCTGGTGAGTGGAATCTGGAGGCTGGTGCACTGGTCTTGGCAGACGGAGGCTTATGCTGCATTGATGAATTCAACAGTATCAAGGAGCATGACCGTTCCAGTATCCATGAGGCAATGGAGCAGCAGACAATCAGTGTGGCCAAAGCTGGGTAAAACTCATAAAATCCCTGTTTTATTAGTATACCATTCTGCATTTGATCCACCTGCCTATGCTACAAGACCAATGATACACTTATGGTTGAAGGCCTGCAGTGTAGGACCAACACCATGTCTGTCCCAGCATGCATGCTCCAGAGCACTGGGGAAGGTAGTGCTTTCAAAGGGGCTCTCCAAAGAAGAAGAAAAAAAAAACACCCTTCTCAAAGACCCTTCTTAAACCAGCTCTTGGCTCTAACACACACACACCACACACACACACCAGATTATTATGACCACCTGACGTTTGTAGGCTAATTAGCTATAATTTTGCGCTGAAGTTGCTAGAGGGCCAGATCATTATAAATAGGGAAGCAGGTTGTTTACCACGACAGTAGAAGTGATTTTTTTTCTGAAGATACGGGTAAACACCAATGTGGCCTCCAGCGAGAATGCGTCCTGCGTCCGGTACCCAGCCGAAGCCGCCCAATCAGGAAGCTGGGCGCTGCCTAATAACGCGACGCCCTGCTTTCTGATTGGCCGGGAAGCTGGCTTCATGCTCCCTCGTCATCTCATGACAGAGCATGGAGCCGGCCTCCCGGCCATTCAGAAAGCAGGGTGTCGCGTCATTACACGGCGCCCGGCTTCACTAATGTGTTCTCCAAGCATGACTGCTGCACTTTCTAGAGACTCCTCATGACGTAACCCAACCCCTCCTGATCATGTGTGGAGACATGGGAACTCTTGGAGAAGCTGTAGGTCTTTATTAAACAGGGATCCACAGTGCTCTGTGAATCTTTGGCTGTAAGTTCTGCTTGCCCACACTACCAAAACTGTATCGACAGAAAAATGGCATTATTGCTCTCACTGCGCCGTTCGAGGGGATATGTAACATGTGCAGCACAATTGTCGTTTTTCGCACGTAGGCGCTCCGACACGTATGTATCTGGGGGGCGGGGGACTTAAACATCTTTTAGACCCCTAATGTCACCTAGTGACCCCAAACAAGCTGAGATAGCCGAGATCTGCTTTCCCAGCTTCTTGTCCTGGCTCTGAGAGCCGGAGACTGTGTACAGTGACACCGGAAGTGATGTAATACGCAGCACTTCCGCGTCCAGTGAACGGAGGAGAGATCAGCGGCTGGAAGCGGCTGAATCTCTCTCTGATCATTGCGGGGAGACCCACCGACCCAGTGGCCGCGGCGGGGGTACCACACAGTACAAACGATCCGGCGGCTGTTCAGACACCAGATCGATTGTAAGTTACACAGCAATCGCCTGCTGTTAACAGCAGTACCAAGAGCACGGCTTCCGAAGCAGCCGTGTTCTTGTTTTAACCACTTCTGCAGGCCGCCGTCTATAGACATACTGTGGCCCGGAAGTGGTTAAAGTGACATTAAAGTCAATTTTTCCCCCTCCCCCCAATGTAAATGCCAGCACTAACCTTAACTGATGTCTCCTAATCCGATCTTCTTTCCTGATGTTTTCATCTGTCCCTCCAACGGTGCGGCGGGTCTCCGATCCAGCGCTGACACTTCCTGTCCCAGGGTGTCTGCATGCAGGTGCACGCATCCATAGACTTACCTTGTGTCTCTCCTCGTCTCCCGGCCGAATTCCGAACAGCGCATGCGCCCGCCCCAAGATGCTTTGCGGCCGCCTGAGCAGTTTTGGATTTTTGGACAGGAGCGTGCGGCAAAGACGGGGTAAGTTTAAACCGCTGTTAAAGCTTTTATTTTTCTCAACTTTTTGCATATATCTACTGCTTGCTACCCTCATATATGCAAAAAAGCCAGAGGGTTTAATAACCCTTTAATACTCACCTGATCCCTGGAACGACTGACAAGCGCAGCGTCCCGACTCTCACGCTGTCATTATTTGCATACAGATCGTGCCGTTTACTATTTAAACCGGCGTGCTGTGTGCAGCTTCTGAGAAGATACGCTATTAGCGTAGCGGGGAAGCCTGCTGCGCATTTTGCATCGCTACGCTAATAGCGTATCTTCTCAGAAGCTGTACACAGCGCGCCGGTTTAAATAGTAACCTGCACGGTCTGTATGCATATAATGGTGGCCGCTTCTGCCTGATCGTGGGGGCCTCCAGAGGACCCCCTTCAGGAGCGAGCGGCGGCCGATTAGAGAGCCGGGTCTGATGCGGGCGGGCTGACCTGGAGCTGCGGTGACGGCCCCCCACCCCCCTCGCTACGCCACCGGCCAGGAGTGTCGGATGAACCGACACTCCCGGTGCAGAGACTGGGGGCCAGCCAGCTTTGCTGGCCGCCCCCCCAGGCTGAGGCCAGTTCCGCCACTGGTATATCGCTTAAGGTAGATGGCTCATTACAGGCTTTGCTGCAGAATTCCTGTGTGCTGGTCCGGCTCGGTTAACTCCTGAAAATCAATCGGGAAGGGAAACCAATCACTGCTCTCCAAACATCTTAGCAGCAGTAGTCACCTTTTGACATGTGGAGACATAAAACTGGCCATACACTGGTAGATTTATATACCAATGTCTATATGAAACATCTGGTCAGAACACTCAATAATGCCATCAGACTTGTAGAATGTCGTTAGAAATTTTGTCTGGCTTTAATTTTGAAATGAATGGAGTTTCCTGTCCAAAATCCAAATTCAATGTTAAAAAAAAATTTTGTCACTACAATTAGAATCGATCATTGATTTGACCCCATTAATTAGTGAAAAAGTAACATTCCCAAAATGATTTTTTCTCAAACAAACAAGCCCAATGTATACACGGATTATTAGTATCCATACACCTATGCGCTATCTTTATATCATCAGTCTCCTACATGAAGTGTCTTATTACTTTGCAAAAACATACCGTACTATGAAAACATCATAACCTAATCATAAATATTTTCTGTTACAATATATCTCGCCTATAGTCATCTAACTACAAATGGATCACAAACCAATGCATTCCTTCCCAACTACAGTAGGAAGGTAGTTATAGATGGAGGTATCCTAAAATAAGGTAGTTCCAGGTGAGAGCAGAGATCATAAAAAGACAGCTGTAGGTAGAGAAAAAGTAAAAAAAAAAAATCAGTTCGAAGTTAAATTATCATTAAAACGGAAGGAAAAAATAAATTCTAACTGAAGTGACCTAAATGGGAAAACATGACAATTCTGGGTGGAGCAATCATATTTGCCGAAAAAAAAAAAAATTCTTGGCGGGGCAAAAATGACATTGGGGATCGGATATGGGTACAGCAACAGAAAAAAGAACAAACACTCTGTTTGTCTGTGCAGGGTGGACTAACTATAATTCTAGAAATGTGTAACATCAAACTAGCGTCCTCAACAAACTAGCGTCCTCCCGTTACCCTAAGCTCAGTATACCGCGAGCTACAGCTCCCGGTATACTGAGACGCCGCAGCCGGAGCGGATCACGACTTAGATGACGGGATCCGGCCAGCTGCGTGAGTGACAGCTGGCTCTGCCTATCTAGAGGCAGAGCCAGCTGTACCCGCCCCCTCCCCCGTCCGTTCCACCAGTCAGCGCTGGCAGATCGGAGCGGGGAGAGGGGAATCCAGCCCCTCCCCCTGTCACGGCAGAGAGCCGTGACAGGATCGAGAGGTGAGTGAACCCGGTATGTGTTCGCTCACCTCCCGATCTACTGAGCCGACCTGTGACAGTCTCATTGTCACAGGTCGGCTAGAACTATGAGGTGAGTGAAAAGCACTCACCTCATAGTTCTCCTTTTAAGGCTGGTAATTTTTTTTTTACATATGATAAATCTGGTCAGAACATTCGATAATGTCGTCAAAGACTTGTAGAAGGTTGTTCAAAATTCAGTTTGATTTTGCAATGAATGTAGATTCTCAAACAAAATCCACTCTCACTGTTAGAAATGTGTTCAATAAAAAAAAAAAAAAAAATCCATCCTGCTCCTCATTACGGTCAAAAACTATTGTTGATTTGACCGCATTAACTATTAGAAAATGAAATGAACATTCCAAAATGAATTTGTCCGAACGAAGTTCTACTGGTGTATGGCCACGCATATAAGAGGTGACCCCTGCTGCTAAGGTGGTAATGTCTGGAGAGCTGTGATTCATTTATTTTCCCGACTGAAGGGAGGCGAGAGGTTTGAATTTAATGAGGTTAGGTTATCACACACACACACCTACACACACCTTTGCTTATTTAATAGAGCTACAGCCTTTGTAAGTGACCTGTCTCCCCAAATGGCAGCTGAGCATGAATATTCCCTGCAGTAAATGGTATATGCACCCCCTCCCTTTACTTCCCTCACTGAAGCTGAGCGGGTCAGACTGACAGCCTGCTAAGATGGAACGCGATTTCAGTAATAAATATGCTTCTGCATGCCTATTTTATGTGCATCTGCTTACAGCCTTTCAAATGCATTATTCAGAAGAAAAATAAGAATATTGCACATCTCACAACAAAAGCCTTTATTCTTTGTGATTATAATTATAATGTTTACTTTTTTTTTTTTTGTCAGGTTGGTGTGCAAGTTAAATACCAGAACAACTATCCTGGCTGCGACAAATCCAAAAGGGGCATATGACCCAAACGAATCTATATCTGTTAATGTAGCTCTGGCAAGTCCTCTGCTGAGTAGATTTGACCTGGTTCTAGTTTTGTTGGATACAAAAAATGAGGATTGGGACAAAATCATTTCCTCCTTTATACTGGAAAACAAAGGTATAGAATTTGTTGAGTATCAAGCTTTTATCTGTTTTATTTTACCCTGTTTTACATCTTTACCTATTGAAAGTGTTTCTACATTAACTGAAGATTGGACTCCTGAGAGCCATACATTAGGCAAGTAGTAGCACTGCTTGACCATTCATATATAATGTTACCCTTCTCTGTTTATTAGATTGCAACCACAAATCTGATAAGCTTTGGAGCATGGAAAAGATGAAAACCTATTTCTGCCTGATAAAGACCTTGCAGCCAAAGATGTCTGATGGAGCTAACATGATTCTAGTGCGCTACTATCAGCTTCAACGACAGAGTGATTGCAGAAATGCAGCACGTACCACAATCCGTCTATTGGAGAGCTTGATACGGCTTGCTGAAGGTGAGGCTCATACGTGGATGACTTGAAAGGTCAGCTGCACTGAAATAGTGTTCTGGGGCATTTAAGCAGACGAAATGTTGCACAGATATAAACAAGGCAATACCTGCACCCTCAGCCCTTGGCAACCAGGAAGCAACTCTTTTTCTCCACAATTTCGTGTATTTTGGATACTGGAGGGTTTGGGCTGGGCTGAGCTTCACATTGACCCAGCATGACCTTACCTTTTTTGTGGATGAGGAGACCAATGCTGCTTTCTGATTGCTAAAGACTCAGGACTTCAGGCAAGCCACCCGTAAACCATGTTTTTTGATTCTGCTGGTATTGTCTTATCTTTACTCTTTTAACTATTTAGTGTATTTGCTTTATTAGTCTTAGGCTGTCTCAACTCAACCATGAAGGAGTAGTTGTGGGTTCACAGTTTTATTTTTAAACCATTATACATGTCTATACGTTTAGAGGCCATGTGTCAGCTTTTTGGTTATATTTCAGACTTAAAATGGTACAGCCCAAACCTGCGATAAAGTATCTTACTTCCATGAACTCCCAGCCTTATAGCTCTCCCTTCCTTCTCAATCACCTTTTTTGTATAAAAAAAGAAAAAAAAACAGATGAGGTGAGGTACAGGTGAGATCTTACTGGGTTCTGATGATGTGGTCTACATTTGGCCCTGTGGTGGTGGTGTTTCTGTTTCTTAGGCACCACTCTTATGATAATGTGCAGTTCTGTACCTTGGACTGTCCATGAAAGTTGAAATCAAAGAACACTCATGAAGGTAAGGGAAAAGAAGCAGAGGGTATGCACTCTTCATATAGTGCTGTAAAGACTTAGCTGGTTTTTAGCATGATTGTAAGGTCAATGCCACACGGGCTGGTGTGCGCACACTGCCCATTCAGCATTGCGGTCATCGGAAACCCGCCCCTCAGGGGGGCGGGCTTGCGATGATCGCAAGTACGATCTGCCTGTCCAAGATTGGCAGATCGTACTTTTTTTTAAATTACTTTACAACCATCGCAAGACTAAGGTCTTGCGGTGGTTGTAAAGTGTATGGCCACCTTTATTCAGTGAACAGTTCAAGGAGTAGCAGTAGCCCACAGCATACTCCGAATTCATTATACAAAGCCAGACTGGTAAAAGATGGATTGTGACTGAATTAATGATTTTAGTACTGTATTTGCAGTTGGTGGTTTGTTTTTACTCAGCTTTACAGAATAAGGTTGGATGTCTAGATTACCAGTCCTTGACATTTCATGTGTGTAGCTCATAAAAATCTACTTTAGATTTATGATATTCTTGTTGCCTATGGTCTGGCTATCAAACTAAAGTAGCTTATATTCATGTGGAGTCAGTGGCGTAACAACCGGGGGTGCAGCAGGGGCGCGGGCCCCGGGCGAAAAGTGAAGGGGGGGCGCCGGCCGAAAATGGCACTTTCGGCTAAATGCCGAAAGTGACATTTTCCTGCCGTTTTGCCGGCGCGGCCGTGATTCCTTTCATCCCCGCTGGGACACAGAGCAGTGCCCAGCGGGGATGAAAGGAATCGGAGAGAAAATGACAGCCGGCCGAGCGCTGTGAGCGGCCGGTGTCTTTCCTCCCACACCGCTCGGCCGCCTATCACAGTGCAGCAGAGCGGTGTGGGGCCGGAGACAGCCAGCGCTGTCACAGGAGGCTGGGCTCTCCTCTTGCAGCCTCCTGTGACAGTGTGTGTCAGA